AACATTAAACATTGACTGTCAGTCTTTATTCACCTGTTTCTCGTTGTTTCTCATTAAAATTAATTAAAGTAAATAGTGTAAATTACATCGCTAATGTCATAGAATAGCACATTGTAACGCAGTGTTACAACGTGCCCCATCTGCGCAACTGGAATTTAAAACTGGTTCGTGTCTTCTGCTAGTAATCAAAGCATTAAAAAACTATCTGAACTGATAAATAACAGATTGGAGATTAAAATAATAGCAGATGTGTCTCATTTTAAAATAATAATAAAAACTGAGATAAAAAAATTTACTTAATCCAGAATTTAAATTGTACTATGGTCAAATAAATATTCAAACCACGTGTTACAACTAACACTTGAATGGAATTTAATTGAATTGAATTAAAGTTGAATAAACTTCAACTTACTGTTCAGTGCACTGATGTCAGACTCATTTTGGATAGTAAAGTTTGTTAAATTGTTAAATGCCCTTACATATCTCTGTCACCATTTTAAGTGTTTGATCACCACATTTGAGTGATCGTTGCAAAAAATGTGTTTATGTATATATATTCTGTTTATGTATATACTGTATTCTATATATATTGTACCAGTCAAATGTTTGGACACGAATAGGAAAGTGTCCAAATTTTGACTGGTACTGTACTATAATATACACAAAGAATCTCGGCAGATATATCGGTATCTGCCTTTTTTTTACTCCCCAATATCGGTATCGTCCCCAAAAAACCCATATCGGTCGGGCTCTATCACAAACCACATTCAACAACATATAAAATAAAATAATCTTTAGAGTAATTTTATGAACAAATGTGGAAAATTTAAAATGTAGAAAAAAAATTATTAAAATTCCAGTGCAGCAACACCCTCAGCACCCCTAGTTCCTGCGGCCATGAAGTAGGCTTATGTCTAGGACAATTTTTTTGTGGGTTCATCCACTTTTTTGCACTCTTTTCAATGCACTTTTTTGTAGTAGGTGTACAGAGTATGTTACATTCTTTCAGCAGTCAGTTATGGGCCTAATATAGGCTATTCACGAAGGAGGGCTCAAAGATGGCCAAATAAAAATATTTTAAATTTCACTAATTTAAATTTATTTATTTTGTTATATTGTGCTTTGTTGGTGTAATATCTGCCGAAATGTTTAAAAAAATTCTCCATGTTTAAATTGTAGTTTTGCAATTGTTTTATTTTTCTTTGAAAAGCAAGACAAAATAGTACAAAGCACATTTTGACTTTAATTTATGCATGGCAAAATAAATGAAAAAAATAAATAAATAAAAAGGTGAAAAATTGTTTTCGGTATTCGGCCTTTGACCAAGTGTTTCATTATATTCGGCTTCGACCAAGAATTTTAATTTCGGTGCATCCCTAGGATTCAGTGTTACAGCAGGAGGAGGATGTATGGAAGGGTATATGGATCATTATGGTACATTCTCACTGAAAGTGTGCCAGAGCGTTTTGGACGAACATCAACTGTTTCACAACCTTTTTTTGAGTTGTCTGTTGTCTACACAGGCAAAATCATAAAGGTGGTGGACATCAATAGTGGTTGATTTTGAATTTTGAACAGTCTACATAGGCTGTAATTCTGCGTGCACAAATAATGCATTAAACACACAAATGTCAAGTAAAACAGACCCTTTTTAAATTATTTGTAAAAAGTAAATTTAAAAATAGCAAGCAAATGATTTAAAATGTTTAAAGTTACATTTAATTTTAATAGATTATTTTTAGCACTGAACAGAGTATAACTGTAATCATTTTAATTCACAAAAGATACATACACTATTTGGGTCTATATGGCTTTTTTTGTTTGTTTGTTTGTTTTTAAAGAAATTAATTTTTAGCAAGGATCCAGTGGGGA